CCCCCCCCCCCCCCCCCCAATAATACTTATTTATTACAGCAGTTATGAATATTTAAACCCAAAAGAAAAACTCAACTGGACATTAAAGTGGAAAGCAGTACTTTATTTCTAATTATGCTACAAGTCAATGGCAAAACAAACAAACAAAACAAAACAAAAAATCTTTCACCAGTTTTTTCTTCTTTTTTTAAACCCCTGAGCACCACAATCCAGCTTTCCCATAATGCACTGGATTTATCCAAAGTGAATAAAAGAAAAATAAGCTTCATACACAGCGTATAATAGGATCTAAAATCTACCAGCATAGCATCGCTGACATAGCTAAACAAGGTAAACAACATATTATTCTTTAAGCACATGAGTGATTCTTTTTTTTTCTTAATCGTTATTAAAATGATAAGTCTTTTTTATGAACAAATGTTCCAACATTGTCATCAGTAAGCCTGTGAACGTGGTTTTGTAAAAGCTTTGGTTATGGATTCACTCGGATTCGTGTGTTTTTGCTTCTCCGGAGTTCGTCCAGGATTTGCTCTAAAAATCTCTGCAGTATAGTGACACGAGCTGAAGAGAGAACAGACAGCCATGTGAAGGAATAGACTGTGCCGCTGCTGTGAAAAAATATAAGCAGCGTCTCTTCATACGCTGATCAAGAGATCAATTACATCGAACAACAGGAATCAGACAATTGTGCATTGATTGTGCCCTCTGTAATTCCACATAAATATAGACTTTATATTTCCATGAATCCTTGCACCTATACAACAACAAAATGATGGTCAGGTTTACTTATTTCATTAATCGTTAATTGTGCTAAAACTCTGGAAACTGTTATTACATTCTTAGATTGCCATGCGTGCACTGAGACTAACTGAACATACAGCTTGGCCTTTTCATTTTTTCTGAAAACATTTTGATCCAAGTGCTTAAAATCAAGTTTCAAGGATCAAATAAAAACATTTTTCTGCTGCTTCAGATTAAAAGCTAAGAATGACAGCATTGGGTCGGAAATGGTCAACCTTAAGAATATTGTCAGATCTTTGGTATTTGTAAAAATAAGTCCTGTTCCGAGCACGTCTCCTCATTCAAAACCCACTAAAGACAGTATAAAAAGAAAACAGATTTTTTTAAAGTTACTTTTAACTTAGACTAGGTTATATATTTTCTGAAAGTCACATTATGTTGCGAACAGAAATGACGACTCAAACACTGGCATCAATGGAACTGCCGCAAACCGTAAAGCTAAAACACTTTAGTTAACTTAACGCCCAAGGTTGCAGCTTAACTTGAGATATGTTTCATAAGATGTGTTTTAGATCTACTGATACTGTACAGAATAAGCTGGATCAGATCAGAAGAGACAGAATCCTTCTGGTATTTCATTTCCCCCTGTGTGTAAAGAAAAAATGCCACTGACAAAAAACGAACAAGCAAAGCAACTGATGCCGTGTCGAGCCCTGTGTGGTCCAGCCTCTGGTTCTGCAGCACAAATGAATTCGGACCAGAAAGGCTATGATTAAAAACTGGCTGCTGTGATTAGGTTGTTGGCACCGTCTATAACAAATGAGGTAGATGTGTGTTCATTATATATTCCCTTCTTTGGTAAAACAATACAAAATAGAAAAAAAAAAAATCCAGTGATTTGTTGAAAAAACATTTTCAAGTGGCTTCACAATAAAAAATAATAGAAATGAAATAAATGAGGTATATCTTGTTTTCATAATCTATTATCTGTGTACAGGTTTGCAGGATTTGTGAGGTATTGGGCTGTAATATGACTTTTTCTTTCTTTAAATAAAAGCGATGTTTCTGAAAGCACTGAAACAGCCCAAGTTTCAACATGAAAGGAAGAGAATAGAACTAATAATAAATACAACCTGAAATTGTCTACTGAATTCTAAAACACAATAATATCCTCCCATTTCCTTACCAACAGAAAAGAGAAGAAGAAATAAACACAAGTGTGAGCAAAAAAAAAAAAAAAAATGGAGAATGGAATAAAGAACGAGAGGTGAACTCTCAAATGCAAGTGCATTGTTGAAAACGTAATGAAAGCTGGATTCTATTCACAACATGAACTGATGCCTAAGATGAGCCATATTCAGCGCGATCACAGCACATAATCTTCTTCTAAAGAGCCTCTCTTTTCTGGTTGAAGACCTCAACCATTTTTTTTATGATCAACGTCCAGCTCACAGTCACACGTCACAATATCATTTGACCCTCGACTTCTGAAACCTGTATTAAGCAGTGTGACCTGTTTTTCCGTCTACTAAACCATTTAATGAACACTTTGCTATAAAACATGGGCTGAGCTGAGGTGGTGGAAAATCATTAAACACTGTCGACAAGTGTTCCCCAAATAACTCACTAATCAATGGAATATATTTCCAGGCATGAGAGAATATAGTACACATAATCCTGTCTGCTTTCCTCCATATCAAGCTATACGTGACCGATCTCGCATTTATGATTCTCCCGGTCTTTTAAAGATTGTGTAGATGACTGCTCTGATGGCTATAATATATTTTCTTTACAAACATATATTTAAGCAGTAATACAGTAAATAACTTTTTCTCCCTGACTGTTTGATGCCCAAGTTAAATGGGATGTGCTTTGCTTAAAATCAAGATATTAAAATATCAGCTTGATAACTCATTTTGGTAACTTTCTGATCATTTGCAATGGCATCGGATATGTGTGATGGTGGCGATAAAAATCTGCATGAGTTGTAACGCTATCAAATAAACCGCTAATATGCCGCGCTTTTTCTCTTTGGTACTAATAGCTGATAGTAGCTCTTGCTGTTTGATTCAAGAATGCAACAGGTAAAGATGAAGATGCCAAAACTTCAGGATCAGTGTAGGAAAGTGAAGAATCTGAGAAACATCCCGTCCTCTCGAGCGTCACACCGCTCCTTGTGTTCATGGCATTGTCACGCAGTACGTTTTAGTCGCTGAATAACGCATCCTCAGAAGAACAAAATCACAAGCTGCAACTTACTGCATTTGTAAATGTACCACATCTCAAATGTGCAGCTATCAGCTGTCGGTGCTCAGCCTTTTGTTTTAATGGAAGTTTTTTCGGTGATGGACGCTCCTGTCCTGATTGCAGTGGGAGGGTTAGAAAAACAGTAGAAAGTGTGCATTGTACATTGAAGGAGACAGAAAAAAACTGGTCCAGCAGAATGACCTAAAGACCCTGCCTTGTCTGACGTCGGGGGAGAGTTGAGTGAGGTGTTGTGGGCTCAAGGGGAGGTGGCTGGTCCGTGTGAGGAGGCGGTGGAGGAGGAAGAGGAGGACGACTGCATCTGGGTGCTGAGCCCTGTGCTGCTGCTCTTTCCCTGGGAGCTGTGTTGGTGATGGACTCGCTGGCTGCCTGGCATGAAACCTATGGCTGGCTTACGGGCAAACAGGACCCCTGCAGTCAGCAGACACATATTTAAAGTTAGTTTCTACATAACACAACATCATCAGCAGCTCAGTTACTAAATCAGTTTGTTTATATTTATTAAAAACATTTAAGTGCAATAAAAAAAAATTCTTATGCAATAAATGTGATTACAAATAATCTCATGCGATAATACTAACAGTCAAAAACAGAGGTTCAACTAAAACATGTTTGGTATGTGATCAGCACCCCCGTGCACAAGCCATTTCTATATTTTGGTACAAATATTTTTATATTTTTACATTTCTATATTTTTTTAATTTGCACAATACTGAAGACGCAGTACCCGAAGTACGTGATATCTGTATATTGATTAAGTATCTAACTTTTTGTTAAAATCTAGTTAATACATTTTTTAAAAATGAATTCCATTCAATTCTTATTAAACATTTCTGAGAATATCTTCTGAATCTAGAATCATTTCAGACATGATAGGATTGGAAGGCAACTAAATCGTAATTTAAGCAAATCACAGATTGTTTTATTTTCATAACTTTGAACATAAGCCTGTCACTGGCAATCCATTATATCAATCTGTCTAAAGTAGACTTTTGTGCCGTTCACACAGATCTTTCATTTCTGGTCTATGTAAACATTTGATATTTTTTCAGTAACATGCACCATAAATTGGTTACATTTAAATGTTTAAATGCATTTGCTTCTTTTCATTTCTGCCCGTCTAGCTCTTTTTACACACGAGAAAGCATCCTGTGCAAACTGTGCTACTGCTCAGTGCAATTTGGCAAGGACGTGATTAAACTCATTATTTTTTTGTTTTTTAACATGAACAAAGCAATTAAAGCAATTCAGTTTATATTTTTAATTGTATTATTTCTTATATAAATAATTGTGCTAAACTAAAGCATTAAAGCATTCACCTTAACAAAAAAGCTGTACAGGGAACAAACCTTCAGTAAAAATGGTCAAATAGATGCCACTTCAACTTGATCTCCTGAAATGTTCCCAGCAAGCTTATGAGCCATCTTCTAGTAATTACTGTCTCTCGCACATCAGGCACAAGCACTGTATCTAGCTAAGGCGGAGGGCCTTTCTCTCGGGCACGAAAGACAATAAGCTCCATCGACCTCCTGGCGCCCAGGCCCAATTTTAAGATATTTAACTTTTTTAACTCTATTGGACTTGCCACTTCATTACGATGGATTTTATAGCAAAGACATCAAATTGTGTGGAGGACTAAGCGCAGGGGTGCTGCTATAACTTATTGAATTTCCTGCCTGCAATTACATCAGCAAACGGCGCTCTATTTACCTGTGTAGACAACCCCATTTATTTCTATTGACATGTTGATGCTGCTAATGCCGTTGGTAGACAGGTTCAATGCAGTCTCTTGTCTATCATCTGTCAAGAGAGGAGCCAGAGAGCGAGGAAGAGAAAAACTCAATATGAGCATTTATAAAAGGAACACAAGAAGCAAGAGAAGCGTGCCACCAACTATCGGCGATAACTCATGAGTGACAGGATAAGGAGGGGTTTATTAAAAGAGTTGCAGGGGGGAGGGTGACTACTCTCAAAAAGATGGGGCTTTCACTTCTCTAGATAGAGAACGGCATGGGGCGTCTGTATCATAAATAGAACAATTCTTCACTGCAATCAGACTGTTAACATTACACACAATTTATTTATCAGAAATACATTAAGTAGGAGACCATTAGATTCATTATTTTGAACCAAAAAAGGGATAAAGCAAGAAGTCAGTGGCTGTCAGGACTTTCAGTTTTCACTCTGTCATTACTGTGGATGTGCAGGTAAACACAAAATAACATTTAATATAATCTTTAAATTACAGAGGGTTTCTGTGTGAAAGTCTTGCCCAGCGTTATAGAATTATGCTACAGTTTCCCACCATACAGTATAAAGAGGCTCTTGTTTTACGGGTGGTATAAGAGTAACTGTCATGCAGAAGACAACAAAACACATTACTCATGACCAGCCTGCAATCATGGCACACACTCTGTCATTACGTGAATGAAGGTGCACTGAATCATTAACATTAAACAAATGGCTTGATAGAAATCACTTTTCTTCATCAGTTCTACCATTCATTTACACTTCATTAGATGTTTAATTTTTTCAGAATGTCTCATAAACTCTTATCATTCTCTGTGACAAAAGAGACAACTTGTTCTAGTGTTATAAAATAACATAAAAGAATATTTGTCATTCATTAACAATTATTCATAAATAAAATCTTTTTCATGAATTCTTTCATTATTGTTTTGAGAATGTCTGATAAACCCGTATTATTCTCTCACAGGTGACACTGATCATAGTGTAATAAAATAAAAAAGTGTAATTCATAAATTTTTCATTAAAAAAGTTTTTAATAAATTCCTTCAGTTTGATAAGGGAAAACCTGGAAGGCTAATGTTTTGTCATGACAGTCAAACCCTAGTAAAAAATATACAGACTAAAATGCATTTGAAATACATTTATTTCATGCTAAGTATACTACAAATACATTTACATATTTATGTACTCAATAAAAATACCCCGCAATTGTACTTTTGGTATACTAAACTGTTATACTTAAAGTCTGCTAAAAAGGAACAACTAATTTTGTGCTTAAAGGTGGGGTAAGCGATTTTTCAAAAACGCTTTAGAAAACTGATTCAGGCCGACTAGCAAAACAAACTTGTAGCCAATCAGCAGTAAGGGGCGTGTCTACTCATGATGTGGAGGAGATGGAGTTCAGTGCACAGGACGGACATTAGCGAGCTGAGTGACAGAAAGATAGAGATGGCGGATAAAAAACAAAAGAGAAAACCGCCTGCGGAACAAAAGAAAGCTTAAGGCAATAAGGCAAGAAGTAGGACCCGCGTAAATATCGGATCAGCTTTCCAGCGCTGGAGAAAACTCAAGGAGCGGAAGGCCTGCAATCGGACGCCGAGGTTGCTTTGTTTCTTCTCGATAGGTGAGTAACACCGTGTTTGCGCCGCAACAGCTAAAGTCTGTCTAGTACACTGGACGCGACAAAGCGACTGTTGAAAATCATTTGAAATTTGTGTCAATACGTCATGAATACAACGCAGCAGCAGTTTTCTGTCGGGGATTTGTCGTGTCGTGCCGCATACTGTGTAGACCATAGATATGTATATACAGTATATCTATGGTGTAGACAGCATCACTGATTATAATGAGTTCCATAGTATTTTGTCACGCCGCGCCACTCGTGTCCAGTGTAGACACGGTGTAACATTGGTTTTGCTTTGTTTCACAGAACTAATCATTGCCTGGGTTGCGTACATATGTGTGGGGCGGAGCTATCAAAATAGGGGCGAGACCCTTTTGGGGTAGGGGCGTGTTTGTTTTGGTGATTTCAAATGTCAACATTGGCTACCAGAAATCGCTTACCCCACCTTTAATGCACTTTAATTGTGCGGAAGTAGTGCTGAAGTCCAACTAAAGATATACTGAAGTATATTTGAGTGTGCTAAAGTGTAACTATTGTAAGTGTACTTCAGGTACACTTTAAATATCTTGCTATTCAAAGATCATACAATCCTCATCAATAGTGACCATTAAAACACATTTAGGCTTAATATTAAAAATGTGCATTGTGCACTAATACTCCAAATAAAGTTGAATTATTATTTTATATCAGTAAGTATCAAGCAATATGTCAGTAAATATGTCAACAGATTTGAACTATACTTAGTATGAAATAAATGTATTTTAAATATATTACTTTTTACTATGGAAGCTAAGGCTTTCCGAGCTACCACTGGCTGTTTGTGATAAACTTCTCTGCCCTAATCTACATTATTTGACCCACAATGCGCTCTCTCATCTCACTACTTACTTTATAGGTAATTCTAGAGACACAATTCACTTTATTGTAATTTATATTATATTTACAGACAAGTCTACAAACTGCTGCCATTTCATTCATCTTTCAAATTGCTATTAAGAAAAAATATACTATGGAAGTCAATGGGGACCACAAACTGTTTGGTTGCCCACATTCTTAAAAATATCTTTTATCTTTAAAAGAAGAAAGAAACTAAAACAGATTTGGAACAACTTGAGGGTGAGTAAATTAATTTTCATTTTTGGGATGAACTACTGTATACTTTTACATTTGAGCCTTACAAAGTAAAAAAAAAGAAAAGGAAATTACAATAAAGAGATTTTGGTGAAAGCATATACTGAACATATCTTTGCATTTCTTGCACCCACCTCTATTGTTCAGTTTGATGTTCATGGGTAGCTGGGTTGCCATGGCGAAGAGATTCTGCTGTAATGCATGTTGCATTATCCTCTGCTGCTCCTCTGCCATGAGCATCACTTTCTTCTCCGGTGGCTCTCCAGACTCTAGCTTCTCCCGCAGCTGCTCCAATGCGGCCGCCTGCACAGCTGCTGCAGCTGCAGCCTGAGCCGCAGCCGCCTGAGCTGCACTGTGGTGGCTGGCCAAAGACACAGGGATGCCCATCCTGTTAGTCAGGCAGCTGGACAGCAGGGAGTCCTCTGTGGAGCAAGAAAGCATCATGAAGTACTTTTCAAACTTTTTTAGGTGACAGAACACTTATATACAACAAAACAAATATAGTGGACCATCTAACATCCTAAATCTTGGAAATGTTCTACTAATTTAAGTACAATGGCGGACCTTGAAATATCCTCATTTTTACGGTGCTTAATTTTGCCACACTGGACAGTGAAGCGCAACAGTTGAGAAAACAGAAGCCCTTTATCACAAATGTATGTAACACAATGTTATAAGTTGATTAATTTAATGTTGTTTTTTTTTTTTTTGCTTTTTGTGATTATATTTACACTTCTGTTCAACAGTTTGGAGACGGTCTTTTTTTCTTCATATGTTTGAGTAGAATCAGAAATACTGTGCAATATTTTTACAATATCAAAAAGAACTGTTAGATCTGAATATATTTTAAAATGTCATTTAATCCTGTGATGGCAAAATGGAATTTTCAGCATCATTACTTCAGTCTTCAGTGTCACATGATCCTTCAGCAATCATTCTAATATACTGATTTAGGAATCTTTCGTACCATTATAAATGTCCTTACTGTCACTTTTGATTAATTTAATGCATCCTTCCTGAATAAAAGCATTTATTTCTTACCAAAAAAACAAATCTCACTGACCCCAAAATTTTGAACGTTTTGAATGGTTAGTGCATGTTATTCTTTTGATATTTTATTTTATTTATCTGACATTAATTTTGATACTGTACACCTGATTCACTTAAAGTAAATGATACTTAAAATTATATATTGTAAAACAGAAAGTGTAAAGGAAAGTTATTCAATAATCTGAATACAGCATTATATTCTACAAATTTAGGTTTATAAATATGCTGCAATAACATCCTCACAGGGAAGTATGAGTATGAAACACAAGTCATGAGATCTATTTAAAGCTGCTTTGTAAACACTATAAATACTGTCAGATTCGTAAGGCTCTTTGATCCTTAAAGTTGCGTGACTTGTCTTTTTCCATATGGGCACATTATTGAATCATGAAGCAGCCCATGTCTCTTTGTGTTTCATTTCTCCTGCTGGTGTGATGCGGAAACTGGCAGAGTGGGCAAGAGGAAGTCCTGCAAGCTGTTTCCTGTCCGCTCTGATGACCATTCAGGCCACAGCGTGGAATAAGCGTGAGTAAGATGTGGCAGTGTTATTGTGTAAGAAAGATGACTTCTCCTTTGGAGGATCGAGGTTGTAATTAAAATAATAACATTCAATTTCCTGATAAGGAATAACATTTTTCTTTCTCTTTGTGAAGTCTTTCTCTTTTTAGGCAGTCGTGGCCTAATGGATAGAGAGTTGGACTTGTAACCCGAAGGTCGCAGGTTCCAGTCTCAGGTCCGGCAGGAATTGTAGGTGGGGGGGAGTGAATAACCAGCGCTCTCTCCACCCTCAATACCACGACTGAGGTGAAACCTTTGAGCAAGGCACCGAACCCCCAAATGCTCCCCAGACGCCGCAGCATTGGCTGCCCAGTGCTTCGGGTGTGTGTTCATGGTGTGTGTGTGTGTGTGTGTTCCAGTCTCAGGTCCGGCAGGAATTGTAGGTGGGGGGGAGTGAATAACCAGCGCTCTCTCCACCCTCAATAGGACTGAGGTGAAACCTTTGAGCAAGGCACCGAAACCCCAAATGCTCCCCAGACGCCGCAGCATTGGCTGCCCAGTGCTTCGGGTGTGTGTTCATGGTGTGTGTGTGTGTGTGTGTGTTCACGGTGTGTGTGTGCACTTGGATGGGTTAAATGCAGAGCACAAATTCCAAGTAAGGGACACCATACTAGGCCACATGTCACGCCCTTTCCTTCCTCCTTTTTTCTTTTTGAAAATCAACAATCAATAGAATGCTATTGTTTTTAAGTGGGATTTTCTTTGTTATATTATGCCTAATTTAATTTTCATTTTTATTATTTCATTTTATCATGTTATTATTTGATCTATTTTACTTTGTACTGTAGTCTATATTATTTTATTGAAACAGCAAAGAATTATTGTAAAATTATGTACTACTACATTGGGAAAAAACATACTTGAAACATTAAAATTCACCTTAATATTAAAGTATTTTGACATTGAAAAAAACTATGTTGTGAGAAAGGGAAATACAAACACAAACCTTTCTTGATAACAGAGGTCATGTGCCCGCCGTTGGGAGTGGGCATGCTGATGTGGGGCATCTGGAGTTTTGGGGAAGCCAGCAGGGTGGGGGTGCCCACGGGGGAGTAGTTAAAGAGGGTGGAGCCATAACTCTGTCCAAAGAATTATTGTAAAATTATGTACTACTACATTGGGAAAAAACAATAAAATTAAAATTAAAATTAAAATTCACCTTAATATTAAAGTATTTTGACATTGAAAAAAACTATGTTGTGAGAAAGGGAAATACAAACACAAACCTTTCTTGATAACAGAGGTCATGTGCCCGCCGTTGGGAGTGGGCATGCTGATGTGGGGCATCTGGAGTTTTGGGGAAGCCAGCAGGGTGGGGGTGCCCACGGGGGAGTAGTTAAAGAGGGTGGAGCCATAACTCTGTCTCCGGCCTTCGCGACGGTTGCTGTCGATAGCTGCCTGAAGCTCCCCGGGAGAGCTCAGTCCCCGCTTTTCACATTCATAAGGATAGAGGTACTTCATATACCTGTAGACAAGAAAAGACAGAACGTGAAGCACTGGAAATAACACTATAGCTACAGTAATTTACATTTGCCCTAAAAAGTGTTTGGATACTCAAGTTACACTGAAATAGTAAATATCGGTCATAATTTCTTTTAAGGTCCAGTTCTCGCCATTAACAAACCATTAACTATGACTTTTGCCTCAAAAAACTCCTAATTTGCTTAATAGTTTAATTAATAGTTAGTAAGGTAGTTGTTAAGTTTAGGTATTGGAAGGATTAGGGGTGTAGAATATGGTCATGCAGAATATGTGCTTTATAAGTACTAATAAACAGCCAATATGTTAAAAATGCTAATAAGCAACTAGTTAATAGTGAGAATTGGTCACTATACTAAAGTGTCACCTAAATATCAAACCTAAATAGTGGCATCTTCAAATAAATGCTCAGGATCTTTACTCAGAACAAACTTCACATTTCTGAGCCACTTTTTCTGTGACATTTGACTCAAAGTGATTGTTATGCATGAAGTCAGTTCTCCTCAAGTTCACACAGGTGTCATAACCATTGGTGTAGTTCATAACATTAACTATATGTTCCACTGACAGCTGACACCAAAAACCCTTTGCCTTCACATTGAACTGTACATCAATTATTTTCATAGTTATCCTATCATTTATTTAATTCATTTTCAATGCATAGACAAACTACATCATTCACATTTTTGAGAAAAAAAGGACACAAACATTACACTACAATGTAGTGAGTGCACATTCTTCCTCTCAACAGTGCTTTGAAACCCAGATTTCTTGCATTCCTCTATTTACATGACCGGGATGAGAGCCCATCTGTTCAACTGTCAATTTTTTTTACTAGGTTCATGATCAACTTAATAATGACTGCCTTCAAATTCCATTGTGTTTTCTTATGACAGCCTACAGGGCTACATGAGAACTGGATGCCTTAGAGAATAATGTAATTGTGTTAAATGACAGTGCTGAGAGTGGACTTGCACAAACAAGTTGATGTGTTCCCCAAGTACGTCAATGATTTACACAGAAAGTAGAAAAACATACAACATGATGCTTTCATGGAAGGAGTTAAATATTTGAGTCAAATGTAAAATTGACTAAAATGCATAAAGTTGAAATCTGTTTATGAGGGGTGCAAAAAATAAAATTAATTATATGACAACAGTTAATTAATCAAATGAACTGCAATTAATCACATTTACACTACCATTTAAAATTCTGGGGTCAGTATATATATATTTTTTTTAATAAATACTTTTTATTTATCAAGGCTACATAAAATTGATAAAAATGTACAGTAAAGACTTTTACATTGTTATAAAAAATATTATATTTTGACTATTTAAAATAAATGTTCTTTTGAACAACAACAACAAAAAAATCCTTCTGAAACACTGATAGTAAGAAAAAATGATTTCTGAACGATCATGTGACACTGGTATAATGGCTGCTGAAAATTCACAAGGAATAAACTACATTTTAAAACCTTAAGATATAAAACAGCTATTTTAAATTGTAATAATTTTCCCACAATATTACTGTTTTACTGTATTTTTTATCAAATAAATGCAGCCTCTGTTAGCATAAGAGATTTCTTTCAAAAACCTTTCCTACCCCAACCTTTGAATAATAGTATATTAATGCTCAAAAAACACTCCAGACAATTCATATTGTGTTAGATGAGTAAAGCATTAGTCAAAAAGCAGCTTTAGAAATCAATATATTGTCCACAGCAATCCATTTCGCAATCAAGTGTGTCAGCGTGTCTTAGCGGTTGTTCACACACGATGCGTTCTTTTGTTCGGAGCCTTTATACATATGCAAAATGTCTTTGGTCATTACATTAAGTCTTACTTTCTTTAGGTTCTTTCACCCTAAAAGCCATGTTTTTGACAAAAATGAACTGTACTATATTAAGTTAAATAGCGAGCCTTTTGAATTGACATCGTGCTGATTTAATAATGTACAATGCTTAAACAGCATTAGTGTTTGCTTGATGGATCTCAATTTAGCAGTACAAATCTCTTTCTTACTTCTACCGAACACTGTCAAATACACTGCTCTTCACTCTCTTTATTTTAAAAGCTGGTAATTGAATTGGACAAGATAGACAAGAATCAACTGGCAGTTATCAACAGGTTGTTCCCGTCTGAAGTTATCTCACTCACTGTGTTCGGAGGGTGAAAGCCGCACTGGTGATGGAGGTAGGGAGGTTCAGGCCTTTGGTAATCTCGCGCCATATTTTCTTATTGATGACTTCCACTAAGCCGCCTTTTTCGGTGACAAGCTTGTAGAGAGTGTACAGATCCAACACCTGCTTGGCCATGATAGGAATCCGATTCACTGGAGTCCCTGCAGGAGCCGGGGAAAAAAGCACAATATCCACAATCAATGCCATTAACTCAAGCTCATTGACGGGCCTCTCGGCCGCTTATAATGCCAATCAGTCAAGCATAAGTAAAACGTCCAACAGCTTCCCACTCCACTTAGCAAAAATATCACTTTTTGCCTTCAGTTTTGCCTTTAGTGAAAAGAAAGGCCTGTGGCTTCTTATTTATGTAAAAGTAAAATCTCAATCATTAAAAATTCTGTATATCACACTGTATACTCAAAGTGAAAATCATTTATCATGATCTAATATGCACCATAAAGCCTGAACAGCAGTGGAGATAATAATTTTGATTATAAAGCGCAAATGGCTTTTTAAAAGAGAACAAAAGTTGCCAAACATCTATACTCTCGAATGTCAATGTTTAAACACTGCTCTCCTTCCCTCTGCCAGTTCATTTGTTGAATGGAAAAAAACCTTGGTGATAATTTGTGCTCACGATTTAATGTTAGGTTGTAATGTGTGAAGAGGATAAGCCCTTTGTGTGCATCTGAGACCGCCTGACCTCAAGATAATTAACCTGTATTTTGCTGATAGAGTTCTATTGTGCCCATTGGATTTGCCATAATAGCAATCAATACGTAGAGAAATATAGAGCAAACAACAGCAAGCAGAGTCGCAGTCTGAAAAGAGCAAGGAGAGCAGAGCTATGGTCTATCAAGGTAAAAACACATCAATTAAGACTTGTAATTATGGCTTAATTTTGCCTCTCTGGCATGTGAACTAAGAGACACTATTAAAACTAAAGATTTATCTGCCTTCTCTCTGAGACAATGCTGGCATTAGATCTAAAGTAGCACAAACGTCTAAAACAATCGATCGATGTTTCTAACTTCTCCTCAAACTGACCACACGAGTCCCTGAAGTAAAAGTAAGTATCAAGGGTCTTGATTTGAAAAAGCCGAAATGGTTCAGAGTGGTGGTTTTCATCTGGGTTTGATTCAGAGCACATACTTTACACTGGAAATCAAGTAATGACCCAACACAGTACCAATATGTTTATTGTACCAAAAACAAAGAAAACCGTCTTAACACTGAAATGTATTAAATACAAATAATTTAGATTAAGATTAATCTTGGTAGAACACTGTGGCTGGCAAAAAAAAAATTATATTCCTTCATCTGCTACAAGTGACGTTTTGTGACATATTAGCCAAAATGATGTCAGGTAGGCCTATATAATATGCTTTTCCCTTATTTTCAAACATATTAAAATGTATTAACAATTTTGTAAGCAAATTGCATAGTTGTGCCTGGAGTTTGCGGACATCATTTTTGGCCAAGCTGACATGCAAAGCTTGCTCTTATTCTTCCCAGCCTATAATTCAATCAATCATTGTGGTGGGGCTTAGTAATATGTGCTGTAATATACAGTAGACATTATTTTGTGGGTTTTAGAGAAAATGCAAAGAGGAGGGATCTGTCCTCTGCAACCAAGGTGGATATTATCATAATGGCTAAATCTGGTCAATTGACTATGGATATTGCTCATATGCTGAATTTGAATGATCACAATGTCCGCCGATTTATTGCAAAACATTGTAAAACAGGTACCATGCAGAATGGGCCAAACAAGACGATTGAACGTTTTGACAGGAGGTAGAAAATCACCTCAATGTGTGACTTCTTCAAAATAAAAAAAATGCTTCAACTTCAACTTTTTCTTCAAAGTTTTTGGGAGGCTTTGCAAATCAGAATAAAGGGAGAACTAATGAAATATCTGTAGTAATAACTGATTGTACTGTATTCAATGTATGCCTTATTTCCTGTGAGCTTTTTGTTTTTTGCATAGTAAAATAAAACCATAATTCCATAATAAGCTGTTGTTTACCTTTTTCCCCAATAAAATGTTTTTCTTTTTCCCAGTACAACATACTGTATTCCTGGTTTAATTGAACTTTTATGGCCATTAAAAGCACTTCTGGCCTCTGTGTGTGTATGTGTGTGAGTATAGGTATAAATATATTAATTGTTTTTCAAAAAGCAAAACTAAATGCAAAACCTTCCCTCCTAACCCACTCCTTACTTAACAAACCTTCAAATGTACAAAGTTAAAACACATTAATGCACAAATAATTATTTATTCCCATGCACAAAAGGCCAAGCGAAATGAGGCTGGAGCAATAAATAAAACTTGACTCCACAAAAGCTGCCTTTGGACTGAATCTGAACCTGGATAAGTGTCTTTAAAACAAGATTTACGAGCGCTCGATTTCTGAGCTGATGTATTCATCTCCTCTAGTTCCCTGAATAAGATAAAGTGAATAAAGGCCAGTACGAGCTTTTGTCATCCCAAACAATTTGATCAGGTCATGCATCATTATGACAATGAGTGATTGTGGAGTGCAGAGAAACACGTTTCGCCGAGCTCACATAGCAGCCTGCTGTTAATTGCTCACTGGCTAAAAAGGTTTAATTGAAAATGTGCTGAAGGGAATAAGCTGGTGTTGGGGCCAGTCATCTATGTGGCTGCTTTCATCAGCAGTCTGCGTTTTAATCATTCACTTCAGCCAGATAATGGAAGGACAATGTGCCTGCGATTGCTCGGTCTTCCGAAGCATGAAATGAAGGGCTAATTTGTAAACACAACGCTAGAAAAAAACTTGATCTGTTGTGTATAAAACAGGCAAATTGAACTGACCAACAAGCCTGAGTACGTCCTCTATGATGTGTTTGTCAGGAACACTAGGTAGCTTTACATTACATTTATTCATTTGGCGGATGCTTTTATCCAAAATGACGTTTAAGAAACGCTACACAGGCAATTCTTCCAAAGGAGCTAGTAACAGGTTTGCCTACATGCTTTCCATTTCACTACAAAAATTGCAATCTCTTCCTGGGTTGAAAATGTACTATACATATAAACATTGAGCTGAAAAAGACAGGCCAGGCAATCAACTTCAGTTGCAAAAAAAGTGTGTGTGTGTGTTTGTAAGGGTGTAATGGTACACAAACAAGATGGTTCGGTTTTGACAACATGGTTTAAATATTATTTATTTTTAAACATAAAAAAAACAACACTCAACTTATAAAACATGTAAATTGCACATAATGCAGTTTTTAAATTAACTTCTAAATTATAAAATTTCTATTTGTGGTTGAAATATTCATTTTCACAGTGGCTGTCATAACATGTTTCATAACAGATTTATTTAAACATACTTTAAATAATTAAGACATCACTAACAGGTAAGGTAAAATAAAATGCTTAGTTTCTTTAGCAAACTAACGATTATTTAAAAAATAAATCTACATTATGTTTTTTTTTATTGCAACAAAGTAGATGGTTATAATTAGCCATCTATTTTTACTTTACATACATGTTTTTGATTAATATGATTAAAATGGTTCTATAAGTCTTAAACATTTTTTTTTTAATCAGTGCTGAAAAAGCAGCGAGATGCAGGAAAATAGTCAAAGACATATATTTAGTGCATGTTTAAAAACAAAGACAACTGAAAAGAAGCACTTTGTGGAGCAGCCAATTGTAGTAAATAAGCAGAATCAAAATCTATACTTTCATTCTTAATTTTTTTTTTCATCTTAGCAGAATGACATTTTCACACACTTCAGGGGGGTGCTTTGGGAATGCGACTTCCGTCCTATGGAAAACAGTGAAATTAGAACTGAAAATACAGCAGAAACTAAAAGACTCATTCTTCGAGGTGGCTCATGGCCTTTCATTCTCTTCATTAGTATTTCAGGTAATTATGAAAGCGTCGAATATTGATTTATTCAAAAGAAAGTGCTGATGCTGCCCTAAGATGTGATCAATTTATTGTTGCTTCCCTGTGGGAATCATGAATCAAAGTGGGAATTTATCAGTTTACAATGGGCAATAACACTTGCATTGTTCCTATTGCTTAAAGATTAGGGGTCGTAAATGAGCCCATCACTCCAAGTCTCTTCCACGATGGACGTATTTATTCTTCAGAAGCCATCAAGGCAACTTAAAAGAAAAGGATACAATTAAGTGATTTACATCAGTTGTTTAAATCTAATTTCTCTTCATATAATGAGACCACCATAGTATAGACAAACAAAGAACGTTTTCACTGATAAAACCACCATAAAACAACAGTCCATGTTTCTGAAATCTTTCCTGGAATCACATATCATCTCTATTTTGACAGAGGTATAATTTGCAGTACACGTTTCATTTACAGGTCTCAAACAGCTGGTCATAAATACTTCTTTCTATATAAAGCTCTCTGGGGGAGCAGGGAATATCATCTACATTCTTCCATCAGTGGAGTTAAACACAGGTCTGTTTGTGTTGAGCTGTGAAATAGAGGCAGCCATTCTGATGTGAAAAAAGATACGGCCATCTCAGTACACAGAGGGGCTTGCGACAAACGATTTGTATTTGACAGGTTATGATTGATGATGGCAAGGTTTTGGGGGACACTGGGAAGGCCAGTGACCTCTGGTCTCAGGCCAGGCCTACAGGGGACAACAGTCCTGGCACGAATTCACTCACAGCGGGGGAGAACCTTTCGTGTATTGCTTTTTAATGTGTTCAGGACACATAGTGAAGCTGAGAAGATTTCACCAGAGTTTTCATTTTCTTACTATCGTCAAACTGTTATTTGATCCAGTGACTGAACTGATGTGGAACGTCATTCTGGGAAGGAAAATGCTGATTTGGAAACATTCTGCATTTTGACTATGCAAAATGAACTACGTATCACTTATTTTTGTGAATCAGAAAATAAAGACACTTTAAGGATTGTGTTGTCCATTTTTCCTTCAAGCATTTACAAAAAATAAAGACTGAAATTACTGCATTTATTTGATCAAACAGTAATAACAGTAAAGCAGCAATATTGTAAAATATTATTAAATATTGTAAAATATTATTACAATTTAAAATAAGTGTTTTCTGTTTTAATATATTTTAAAAAGCAATTTACACCTGCCATAGCTAAGCTGCATTTTCAGCAACAATTACTCCAGTTTTCAA